AATCTTATCCGAGGGTCCAGAGCAGAGGTGGTTTGCCTGGTCCAGTGGCCTGTGCCTAAAACATGTGGCCCAGGTTTGAACCGGTGGTATGGACCCATGCGCTGCATCAGCAGGATGGTTTGGATCAAGGTCTAGGTCAGGACAAAAGTAATTACAGCCCAGCTACCGGATGGACTTAAAGCTGGCCAAGAAAAACAAATGGGGAGCAGAGAACTCGGAACAAAACAAACAGAAAAACAAACCAAACTAGACGAACAGAATGAACCACACCTGCCTGAAGGAATGGAAGGAAGGATGCCGGGGCCAAAAACATGTTCAGCAGCACCTCAGCCTGCAGTGGGCCCAACAAGCGTCCCCCTAATAGAACGTACGATCATTGTAGCTGCATTTAGAATAACTTTCTGTCTAGACACTGTGATAATTACCGTATGTTCTATTTGGGGGAAGACGGTAGGCAAGGGCTCAGTGGCTGAGGGCTGTCCACAACAATGGTCCAGCCTCCTAGGCCCATGCGGGTGGGCCCCAGCATGGCATTGCTGGAGAAGGTTCAGAACTTGTAAGGTACCTGGTTAGACAAAGAGGGTTGGGAGGATGTTCACAAACAGGAACATTTGGAGACGCAACACGAGGACAGAGATGATGTAGCTCAGAGGAGTGGGAGGAGGCGTGGACAAGGCAAATGCTTTGAGGAGGAGAGGTGGGTATACATACGCAAGCATTGTGAGAGGATTTCAGTGATGGTGAGAAGGACGATCCATGCCGTCTTCGATCTCCGTCTATGTCCCTCTCACAACGTCTCTTTTTCCCTTCATCGTTGACCTGTCCCCACATCAGTGTGTCTGTGCTCCTCCATTTGTCTGCTGGCACCTCTCTCTCTCTCTCTCTCTCTCTCTCTCTCTCTCTCTCTCTCTCTCTCTCTCTCTCTCTCTNCTCTCTCTCTCTCTCTCTCTCTCTCTCTCTCTCTCTCTCTCTCTCTCTCTCTGTGTGTGTGTGTGTGTGTGTGTGTGTGTGTGTGTGTGTGTTAGTCAACATCCCCAAACTCTCTCTCTCACTCCATCCTCATACCATCACAAACCATCCATAAAGAAAAAAGTATAGATGAGCAATATAATAGAAGGTGCAAGGTTCCCCACATTTGTGTGGTTGAGCGGGGCGTGCTCACACACCCGTCTGCCGCCGAAGCGCACTCTTGCACAAATATATATAATTTTTTCAATCCATAATGTGTGTCTCTGCCGGATCATGAGTTCAAATTGAAGAAAAAAACACTAAAAAAAGGCCTAAAAAATTCCACGCTTATACCTGTTGATAACATAAAAAAACAAAACAAAAAAGTGATGCATAATGAGGTGGGAGGAGGACAAGGTGAAAGTGGAGAGGAGAATCATGCAGGCGGGGGKGGGAAGGGCGTAAGGAGGRGRKGACACATTGCTTAATCATTAGAAAATGCCCTAGTTCAGTGGCTAGAGCACCGGTGTTGGATGTGCATTGTGGTCCTAGGTTTCAGGTTGGAGTTCTTGAACCCGCAGCCTAGCCGCCGGCAGGCATCGACTGATGCAAAAAAGGGTCAGGCCGTAGCTCAGTGGGTGGAGCACCGGTGTGGAATGCGCATTGTGGTCTCAGGTTGCAGGTTCAATTCTAGAATCCGCAGCCTGGCGCATTTGACCGGCGGGTGTCAACCGATGCAAGGCCTGTGGTACACCGGGCAACACAAAGGGGTCCGATGCTCGAAACCGGCGCCGTGCAGGGGGTTCAAGACACAGATCCCAACTGTGGGATCCAGCCATTTCTGCTGCCATATTGGATGCTGCCCCCCGGTGCGTGCCGCACAGCACAGGCTATGTGTGGGTTGTCAGAGAGCATTGCTTGCACCCTTCCTTGGGTTGTGCGGGGTCATGGGCGGATGGGGTGGGGAGGGGGGTGAGCTCAGTGGGAAAGGAACAGGGCAGGGAAGCCAGGGTTCGCCGCTACTCCCCTAGCAGAACTACGATACTCCCCTCAGTGACAGCTGACAGGGTGCATGACTGCCTCCCAGCAGGTCACCTTGGGAAGACCCGGAACCTGAGTTGGGGTATAGCGCACCCCGTTGCCGGGGATTGAGAAGCACCGATCTCGGTCGATACCTGCCCTGGGTGTATGTGTGGTCGAGGTTGCGTGCTCTGTACTTGAGAGTCTCCTGCCCGTGGGTTGGTTCACAGTGCCAGCAAGGCGGATCGAAGACGGTGTGTACAGCCTCCTGTCGGATATCCTCGCCATGCACTGTCCACGACACCCCTCACAACCTTTTAAAGAGGGGAAAAGCTGAGGCCGCCTTTCTTCTTCCTTCCAGTTTGTGATGTCAGCATCGTAATCAGTATGTCATGCCATGCTGTCGTCGCCGTCATCACACGTCACTCCCTTCTGTTTTTTCCTTTTAACATTTCATTTCTGTCCCTCACCTTAAACCATGACTCACATGTCACTCCTCTCCTGTGCCATTCTTACCAACCATCGTCATCATCCATACTCCTCCTCGTGCTCCTCCTGCTCCTCCTGTTCCTCACTGCTCTTCTCACTCTTGTCGCTGTTGACATCATCATTGATCATTTCAATTTCGCCTTCTGAGGAGGAGATACACCCTCTTTAGCGTCTTCTTCACCATTCTATGTCATCCTGTATCTCCTCCTCCTCCTCCTCCTCCTCCTCCTCCTGCTCTACCTCCTTTATCACTATCATCATCTCCATCGCCTTGATTTCTTTTTTTTTTTTAAATGGTCTTCATGTTAACTGGCATGTAATGCAAAATGAAGTCATTCAGCTTCTCCTACTGCCCCCTGCCACTCTGTTTACGTAAGCTCATGGTAATCCTCTCTCTGCTCCCTCATCTTTACCATCGTCATCATCATCGTCATCATCGTCGTCGTCATCATCATCATCATCATCATAGGAGGGGAGGAATAATCATCATCGATTCATCGTCATAATGACAGGAAGTGCAACGCGTAGTCGTCCCCCGCAAGTTCTGCATGCAACTCCTAGCACCTCCCTCAGCACTCGCACAGAGCACCCTGCCCATTCGCCCTCAGCGCTCACATCCGAATGCGATGCTCCTGCTCGGAGATGTCCGCCAACAAAATGAACCGCATGTGCATGCCCACACCCGTCCGCCCGCCAAACGAAACGTGTATGCGGCCCAACACCCCGCAAAACGAACGCGAATGCAGGCCAACCGTGGAACCTTTGTGAACGTGGCCCCCTGAAAACCCGGAAAAAAAAATGCGTGGTAAAAACGTGTGGCACAGGTGGACCTGCGGGAAGTTACCGCCTCCTGGTGGATTTCTCGGGGCCCGTGCGAAGCGTTACACGGGGCCCTGGTTTGCTTTTAGTAGGAGTATAGATAACATACGTATTCTGGTGGCTGCATCCGACACATGGAGCTGTTGATAAACAGATCAAGAGTTAAAATCCTCACGACACAGTCACATTAGGGGCTTTCCGCCTTCCTTCTTTCTCTCGGCTGCTGTTAACAAGCTCACGTGTCACTGTTCACCTCTGTACATTGTAACATATCTATAACTGAATGCCCTTTGCGAAACAAACATCAAAAGAACACAAGATGGACATGAGGAGCACAGTGAAACCATTCTTTTGATCATTTCTTCTTTTAGCTCGTCCTTAAACCACTAGTACCCGTGAAACTCACAAAAGAAGAAAAGTGTTCCTAATTTCCCAATACTGTACTACCATCTTCACCCGAATATAACGCCCTGTCATTATAGCTGTATTTGGGGCACTTTCCAGTCCAGGTGCAGCGTTAATGACCGGGCATTCTATTCGGGTGAAGACGGTAGTGGTTTAACTGTGCCTCTTACATTGATGAAGTTGAGTGCAAGCTGCCCATATCCCCGTGTGCGATAATGGCCCACTTGTGCGCTGTGAAAAAGAGGCAGAGCTACAGGCTGAATCAGACACATGTAGCTGTTGATAAACAGAACACGAGTTCAAATCCTGTGGGACACATGAAACGGTAATCACCAGTTCGCTGTAGCGAATGCAGATCCCAGGGCTCGATCCCTAGTTCCCTGGCTTACCTGTGTACAGTATTGATGTCAACCCGYAGACTTGAACCCGCGACCTGTAGGATCGCCAGTGGTAGGCAGGGTTTCGTAGGTCACAGCTTAGAAGGGAATCGAACTGTAGACCTGTAGGGTAGGAGTCYAGACAGTTCCAAAGTCGTAGCTGTAGGATGCCTGAAGAGTCAAGGTCGTAGCTGCTACTTACCTGAAAGGGCAAAGTCGTAGCTGCTACAGTACCGAAAGGCCAAGTTCGAGACTTCTAGAAGTGGCCTTTCGGAGTTGGCCTGTGTTCAGCAGAGGCAAGTGGTCAAGTGGTGGTAGTCCACCTAGCCCAGTCAGCAGTCCCAGTTAGTCAGCCCGGTCCTGTTCAGCAAGTACCATCTGGGACTGTGTGCACATCGTGGGCCAAGGGATACAGGGCAGACCAACGCAGCGCAGAAGTATAAATCAAGAGGCTGCGTCCAGCCATTCATTCATTCAGGCGGAAGCCATGCGGTAGCGCTGCCACAGCGTCTAGTGCAAGGAGGTCTGCTGGGCCCGAAGACGAAGGGGGCAAGAGTGAAGCACTGTAGTCATAGCGATAGGTAGCGGCAGCCATMGCTGCCATAGCTCAGYGTAGAGTGCAGAGTGTGTGTACTGTGTGTGTGTGTTGGGTATGAACACTGAGTGTGCGTGTGGGACATCCAGGGTGATCTCGAGTGTGAACAGTGAGTTGTATGGGCGCACAGTCGCCATAGCCAGTTGGAAGACAACTCATATCTGGTTACGATATCTTTGAGTACTGTGTGGGCGCATGTCGCCAGTTTGCTGTATCGCTGTTTGCAAGCATGATGAAGTGTGAAGAAGTCGGGTCTGATTGCACACAGTCAAGTTAGGGGCTATTCCCCCTTCCTTCTTTCTCTCACTCTCTGTTAACAAGTTCACATGTCACCGTCTGCCTCTCACCTTCCACACTGTGGATCTCGTGTTGTCCGCATCATTGGTCAGCATGGGGATCCTGTGATCTCTCAGACCACTAGGAATACAAAAAGCACCTCCATATCTCGAAACATCGCCGTCTCCATTCATGTCATTCAACATGGAATGTTGTGAACGTCTTGCTTCGTCTCCATCACGCTGTCGTCTTAAGAGAGCCTCCCCAACCTCCTGTAGACTGTCACCTCTATTTTCCTGCCTCATCACCACAGGATCAATCCACAGACTCCTTGGTTGAAAACATGCCTTGCCAGCAAGTCAAAAAACAGTCGGTACACCCATGAACTGTTCAAATGCAGATCTGATTTCAAATCGAGAAGGAACTACATGAATGAAACAAAACAACTCCTTACCTGGGACCAGTCAGTTCAATGATGGTATCACAAGGCCATCGCCATTTCAAAAAACACCTGAACAAAACAAACTGCTACAACAATTATCCATTCTAAGAATCAAGTTATAGTAGGGAGGGATACTCTTATCACCCTGTCTTGTACCATGAGGCCGGTAAAAAAAAGAAAAAAAAGAAAAGACTCAAAAGAGATATATGTTTCAAAAGAAAGACATGGGGCAGACAATTGCAGGAGCCAGGACTCTTTGCGAGGGAGAAACACTCCAAAAGAATTGGCCTATCGGTACCCCCTCTGAAACCCACAGGTTATCTGATCATTAATGCTATATGTTTCCTCACAACATTGGAGCGACCGTGAGCTTGGGTGTGACAAGTCCTGGTGTGCTTGTGTCAATAGACTCAATACTCAAGTAGCACAGAGACGATGTAACAGACTCAGAGCCATCAGCAATAGAGAAATGGGGGGGGGAACGGATACAAGAGTGGAGGATGAAGTGTTTGCGACTTTGCATATATAAAGAATATAATGAAGGAAAAACTTCAAGAAAGGATCTCACCGATTCCTTAAGAAATATATGTGATTGAGCTGGCAAAAGTGACCACAATGAACATAACCACAATCAGAGTATAAAACAGAGAACCCCAAGAAGCATGAAAGTTGATCAAACATCATGAAAGGATTTCACCTTCCTAGCCTGCCATGACTCGATCCCGGGACTTGTCACTGTTGTTGTTGTTGTTGTTGCCTGTTCTGCTGTATTGTATGCATGAGTGTCCCTGCTGGAGTTTGAACCTGGGATGTTGACGTTGACTTGCCTGTATGTTTCGCTGTTGATGTACCGTGTGTTTGTGAGCATTGACTGAGCCTGTGTAGTCTTGAACTCTTGTCTATGCGTAAAGTCAATGTTTGATACCACTAGTGCGGTATGTATGCCTCCAGCAAGCGTCTAGAGGTTTTCCAGGGCAACGGGGAAGGTGCCCCCCATGTAGCAAAACTGCTGAATTCGCTTTCACAGGTCCATTCATTCATTTTTTCCAGTGCGGTGCTGATTTGTGAAGTCAAGCAGTGCTCTGTGACAAAGAGGAAGAAGACGGCCATAGCTGAGGCCGGAGGACGATTTTGCTGCCGTGTAGCTGTTGATTTTCTTCCTTTTCTTTTGTACATGAGCAACGGCCATGGCTGGGTGACCCTAGTGGAGTGCTTTGTGGGGTTCGAGAGGGAGGAGACCGCGAGGAACAATACTTCAATGTCCGGAAGAGATCCTAGGGGGGGGAGAGAGAGAGAGAGAGAGAGAGAGAGAGAGAGAGAGAGAGAGAGAGAGAGAG